ACATATATATATATATATATATATATATATATATATATATATATATATATATATATATCAAAATTTTCTGTCAGAAAGTGTGAAATAAGTCTTCTAAAGTACGAAATAAATACGTACATACTTGTCAATTTTCATCCCGAAAAATTTTCATTCAATTTACTCCAAAAATTCTCATAAAAGAAACTTTACAATGCTGCATGCTGTACCTACATGTTTTCATTTCAAATTTCCAATGTACCTAAAGTATCATTCGCTGAGCGAATTAAACAATAACAAGAGCCACGATCTTAAGCTAACGAACTTCGAATCGAACCTCAAATAAAACAGTCGTGAAAAAGAGTTAAAATTGTCGAATGTTAATTTTCATAGAGTCAACAATAAACGCTGCCCGAAACAATATTTCTATCCTCAATTTCACTTTCGCCGAAACTGGCTGCACATGACACGGGTAGATATCTTTGCGCCAGAAAAGAAAAAATTACGCATCTTCACTGTTTCGTGACAATAACTTAAAGTACGTGTCATCGAGCGTGCGATTGTCAATCGAAAGAAAATTGAAATAATGCGACAAAAGATTACTTACAGTTGATGTTGCCGGGTCAGCATGATTTCTTCCTTGAAATAAATGCAGATACGCGCATTTGTACGAAAAGACAGTACGAATGTACACGGTCGTGCACGATCATTCAAAATTAATCACTTACTCAACGAAAGTTCGCGAGACAGCCAGTCTGTAAATTATATCGGCACCGCACTCGAGTCGTGTATGAGCGCGCACTTTGTAACTTTCGTATGTGAGCACAGCGGATCCCGATAATCGTTCACGTTCGTAACACTACTCCGTTTGACATAATTTATCTGGTGACCCCACGGCTGGCTACCGTCGGCCGACGCAAAGCAACGCAGGGAGCTGTTAACTGAGCTGGTGGGGATACGCCACGGATGACGAGAACATATAGACGTCCTCGTTGATTCGTTAGTTCCCAAGTAAAACGAACGTTGATTGGCCCGTTGCTCTTCTTCCCAGTTTGCGCGGCTCACGGTGAACACACTGAAGTTTCCGTTTTGTACACGTTCAACTTCGACTGCTCGGTTTTCGTATAAAAATTTTAACATTTCATCGAAATTGATTATAATTAAGAAAAATATCATGTTCCATTGCATTTCGTATAAATAACACCGACCTTTCAATTTAGTACATTTTCCTGCATGACATAAATTATAATACATGTATTTCATTTTGTGCATAGTACATTTAAAAAATCGAATCGTTTTATATCGAAATACTCGAATAGTAATTAAGCTGTTTGATTTTTTTATATATGTATGGTGTATTATATATATATGATGATTGTAAATTTTTGGTTCTCACGAAATATTTTACGTTTAATAATGAAATTTAATTATAATACACTGAAGTTTTTATTTCTAGTATTTTCTAGTTATTACTCACTTCACAGCTGTCAATTTTGAATGAACACATAGATGCATATATAGATTTGTTGAATATATTTAATCTTCAGTGTCACTGTTATACAAGTTGTGTTGATAGATTGTATGTTTATGTTACAGCTTTGTAAATAAAACTTCTTTTTTCAGTTTTCTATAAAATATAAGTTTTTTTAAAACATGGAAAACGATAGCCCTGTAATATATGGCCTTGAATTTCAAGTATGCAACTAAATGTGTAAAATCTTAAGTTATAAACATTTACAATTATTTTTCTGTCACAAGTTTGTACAAACAGTCATTTAAAATAAAATATACGAAACATAAAGCTCACTATTCATTCTTGTGAAAGCTTATAAAAATCTGATATTAGACTAGAATTATTTGCTACTAACCATTATTCCTGTTAACATTCGTAATACTTTTTACTTCATAGACAAGAGCATTATCAGCTCAAACGGCAGAAACGGATATTGTCAGGTTTTTAGTTGGGACACAATCATTGAAATTTAATAACAATCAAGTTCATTTAGTAGAACTTAATGAAGAAACAGGTGGCTTAAAGACTCAAGTATTTCATCATCCTATTGGAGAAATTTGGTCTTTACAGGCTTCTCCTACAGAACCTAATATATTTACTACATGTTATAACACTTTAAGTGGTAATTATAAGTGAAATTATTTTTTTTTTTCGAATGTTAAAATGATAGATCTTAATTATATTGAAATATATGTTTAAATATATAACTTCATTTAGATGATGGTTCTTGTCAAATGAAAGGAGCCCTTTGGAAACTGCCAGAATTAAAAGAATATACAAATAATGTTGAAAGTCTTAAAAAATTAGCAGATATTGATACTACTCCTCATGGTACAGACCTTAAAACTATTGCTTATCATCCTATGGATTCAACAAAGGCTGTTTCAGTTGTAGACAATAAATTTATATTATGGGATCTAACTGATAATGGACCACAGGTAAAAAAAAAAAAAGATTTCTAAGTTATTTGCAGCTGTATTTTTTATTTGTTATTTTATTTAGGCTACTACTTCTGGTACTTTAGCTAGTAAAGGTCAGCCACGTTTCACAAATGGAAAATGGAATCCTCATAATGGTTGCAATCAATTTGTCACACTGAATGAAAATAATGTTCGTGGTTGGGATTTTCGAAATCCTGCTGAAGCATCTTGGACAATTTTATCTGCCCATTCTCAAATAATTAGGTGCCAAGTAAAATTTTGATTATTTTTATTCATAGATTTTATAATTATAAAAAATATAGAGTTCAATATAACATTAATCTTATATTTAGAGACTTAGATTTTAATGTGAATCGTCAATATATTCTATCTACATGTGGAGATGATGGATATATGAAATTTTGGGATATTCGATCACCTACAGAACCTATATTATCTCGCATGGAACATTCACATTGGGTTTGGAGTATTCGAATTAATCGTTTCCATGATCAATTGGTTTTAACTTCAAGTAGCGACTCAAGAGTAATATTATGCAGTATTGCATCAATATCTTCAGAACCTTTTGGGCATATAGTAACTCCTGAAGATGATTGTGCACAAAATGATTACAATTGCAAGAAAAACAAGTAACAATTGATAATTAAAATATTGTATAATCAAAATACAATCAAACAATTTAAATTATGTTATTTTTAGGCTTGAAGATGGAGTTGTCGGTAGGTATGAAGAACATGAAGATAGTGTTTATGCAGTTGAATGGTCATCTGCTGATCCTTGGACATTTGCATCATTAAGTTATGATGGTAGATTAGTTCTTAACAAAGTTCCCAGGAAGTACAAGTATCAAATACTTCTTTAAATTAATGAATTTATATTGATTTGGTATCAAATTAATTAATAAATTAATGTATTTGTTCCGATTTTTTATTTTACAATCGTTCTGAAACTTTACTTGCTACATTCCTAAGTTGTCCATAAACTTTTGATGGAGGACTACCCAAAATTAAGTTACATACAGCCCTTCTCGCTAATTGTATGTTTTGAAAAGAACCAAGTATATGAATTTTACTATCTGCCAATACAATTCTAGTTTTTGTTACATTTTCTATTGTAAATTTTGTTCTTCCACCTTTTCCAGCTAATCTTCCAATTGCTCTAGAAAGATGATCACCTTTTAAAGGCTTTACATCTTGAATTTCAAATGTTTCTATAAATAAACCATCTAAACGTAATAGAGCTAAAGCATCTTCCACATCAAAACCATAAATAAATGCCTTGACAAAATCAGTTCCTTTCTGCAAATTAGCAATATCAGAAGTTTCTGGAGCTGTCCGTAATTCTACATTTCGTGTTTTCAAATTAAATCTTATTTGCAATTGCAAATGTTCCACAATAGGTGTAAATATTTTCATCCAATTTTCTTTTAAAGGAGTGTACCTATGAGCAGGTACAGATATCTGAAAATATTTTAGTTTATTTTAATAATAATGCAAAATTATTTTTATTTTTGTTTAATATAATGCATCAATTAATAAGTTCATTAACAAAAATAAATTTTCACCTTTCTTTGTTCAGTGTGTTGTATAATTTTAACTCTTTTTGAGGTTACACCTGACTCTGTTTTTCCTTCTATACCATTAACTATTTCGATCTAAAAAGGATAAGTAATTTTAAAAAAAGATACTAAATAAAAAGAATTAAATATTACAATAAATAATAAAATTATATTTTTTTAAAATAACCTCAATACTTACTTCCATACGACTTTCATTCACATGTCGCTTTGTTGTTTTTTTTGGTTTAACAAATTCGTTTGATTCTGAATTATTCATTGCTTCTTCTTTATCTGTACTCATTTTTAAACAATTTCTTGGCTACTAAGATATAAAATATACAACCACTTTTTAAGACACTAAACTTGGTGACTAAACGAACATGAATCCTTCGCCATGTGGCCATTTTATATACACACACACACACACACACACACATATATATATATTTATACTTATCCATGGATGTATATCATTTTTCTTTGTAATCATATACATATATAAATGTATGTACAAGGTATTTTAATTATTTATAATTCTCTTTTTTTTTCTTCTTTATATTTAAAAAAATATGAGAATCTTTATATCATAAAAATTATTTTCATTTATCGATATTATGCTTGTTGGTTTTATATTTTATATATTATAATTTTAATTGTACAAAAAATACAATAATGAATTTTCTGTTTTTAAGAAATTAAAAATATACTTAACATTATAATGTATGTAATTCTTATACACTAATATCAAAATTCATACTTATAAGTGCTTACGACATATTGTATTGATTTCTAAAATTAATTGTACAAAGATGGAACAAATAGGTAATATTGAAATGTTAGATTGTTAGTTCGGTTAAAGTAATGTAAAATCTGTTATTATACCTGTTCGGTTAAAGTAATATAAAAAAAGTTATTAAAAAAAAGAAATTTATTATAATAATTTGTTTAAAATTAATTTTAGAGAATTACAGTAACAGAAAATAAATTTAATTTTTAAGTATTCTTTATTTCGATAAATATTATTTACTATTTCTATATTTTACTAATTATAATATTCTTTTGAAAATACCTCTAATAATATAATTATTAAATTAATCTCACTCAGAAATATATCATTGCATATAAGAGACACGATCTCGTAAAATTATTAAATATATTTACAAATTACGTTATACATATCATTAACAAAATTTTGTTTTAAAATAAATATATTTATAAAAATTTTAATGGACAAAATTAAAGTTATATGAAACTCATAAACTGTTGCACTTTAATTTGTAACTAAAAATATTCACAGCTAAATATTTACATTAAATTCATAAATTTACGAGAAATAAAAATTTTTTGTTACTTTTATATTTGAAACTTTTTCATAATTATTTTCAAATATTTCTGAAAAGATTTATATTAATTAAATATTTTAATGCGTAATTCATAAGATAAATATAACAATTATTATAAATCTAAAAATATGTAAACAAATCAATTTAAATCTTTTATATTTTTTATTCTTGCGGAAAATATCTGTAAATATTATTTTTTTTATCACAAAATAATTACTATAAAATTAAAACTAGAAAAGTGGGTGTAATTACAGAATGTATTTCTGTATTATAAATGACCACAAAATTATTTTGATTTGACAAATATGTATGTGAAATATCAAAGTAATTCATAAAACTGGGTATGATACAAAATAAGCAATTGCATCTTTTTATAACACATTTTTCATTATCTTTGAAGTTTATGGTAATAATTAATAACAAGAAAAAAACCTTCATCAATGTGTCTACAGTAATTATTAAAAGGTACAATTAGCAAATTACTATATTGTGTATCCACTTTGTGTAATAATAAGTAATAATATAATTGTAATTTTTTTTTTCATAATCATAGCGCGATTTTCTTTCCACGTGCTCAATCGTTTTCTACAAATATAGTATTGTATCTAATTTTTTATTTATATATATATTCATATTTATATATTTATGTATCCAGTTGAATTATTATCAATCATTTACTTTTACTGCTATTTATATCAATTAACCAAATACTAAAAATACAAATGTTTTGCATATAGCAAGTTTTAAAGTCATCAAGTTTCATCTTGGAGCTGGTGATTTTAAAACGCATATTCATATACATGATAGAATATTCATGGCATTGCAAACAAAATTAAGGAGCTTGTAATGCATTCGTTATACATACATACAAATGAGCACACGAAAGTGAACATTTTAATTGGTATAATTATTATAGTCTGCATGAAAATGATGGTACATTATACGTGTTTATGAAGCACACTATAAACACCAATTATTTATTGAGCGTTACAAATACACCATCTTTTAAAAGTGTGTTGAATATCAACAATTGTTACATATTACAATCAACTTATGATCTTTGGTGTATCAGTATTATTTGTATTATAATACATACATACTATATATGTAATTATATGGCAGACAATCTTTAGAAGCTCCTTAATTATGTAAACATGCGAAAAATTTACTTATTTTTAAAATATTTATATTTACACGCAAAGCTTACTTTCTTTGTAATCTATACAATCATATAAATGTAATATTCAATGATAAAATTGTAACATAATAATTCCTAACTTATTTATCTAATTTTAAAGAGAATATTTTACATCGAAATTACAATTTATTTCTTTTTTGTTTGTTCTTAAATTGTACGATTAAATTACTACACTTTACATTGTATGTGATTCCATTATAATGTAGGGCTGAATCAAATTAAACGCAATTTGAAGGTTCATTTCTTTATATGTTTTATATACAGCATAAATTCCCACCATGTAAAATAAGCATGCTACTATTATATATTTACAATATATGATCCAAGATCTGTCGAAATAAATTTTGTGAAACAAGCAATATTCTAAATAATTTATCTTAATATTAAAAATAGAAGAAATTTTAACACAATCATTATCCACAGTAGTGTAACGTCATTATTCAGTCAATGAAGGTAAATTTGTTAAAATTTTTCCTATTTAAAATATTATTAAATTCAGTACTCAACATTCATATGACAGAAATAGTTTTTTAAATATATATCACCTGATAGCCATCAAAGCTGTAATAAAGAATATGAAGAAAATATTTTATTTAAGATTCTTCATAAAAAGTAAAAAATAACAAAGAGAAAAAGAGGAGAGAGAGAGAGAGAGAAATTTTGTTAGGGAAAAATAAAATCCTTGAATAAAATCTTTTAAAATCCTTGAATAATTTTAACTCAAACTAGGATTTATTCATTATGAAAGAATACAATTATACCAGTATCGTATTTTAAAAGTATCATATATAATGGAAATGTTAAAGTAATCATAATATAATATTTTCTTCATTTCTTTATAAGTAATGGAACGTACGTAGAGAGTTACGGAACAAACGAATATACATTACTGTGACATTTTAAATGCAAATTTTCAATATAAAAAATGCTATGATGGCTATCACAGGCTCATTTAGAAATTCCAACTCTCAACTATATAATTTACATTTATACAATATAAAACTAGATTATCTGTTCACAAAAACAATTATTCATATACAGTAGTTCATGTACATCATATATTATATATACGTTTTATGTGTACACATTTTTATATCTTCTTAAGTGATGCCAAAAGGGTGCTTCTAGTATTCTCAGTGCACAATCACAAAAAATAATTAATAGTATGACAATGTTGCACAACTTTAATTATCACTAATTTAATAAAAATTTAAACAGTTTCTATATGTACAATGAGGGTGCTTTCATATATCTTTACAAGAAATTATTTACAAAATATATTCATTTATATATTACCTATCAAATTAACATTGTATTATTCGTTTTCTATCATCATTATTTTTATTATTTCTGTATATTTATGCACGATTTATCCCAACGTTCTGTTTGTTTTATAAATAAAATAAATCCTTCTTAATAACTCTATACCGCCTCTGCCTTTTGCAATATTATGACTCAAGACAAACTTCCCGCTGAAAGACTATGTTCATTCAAATGAAGGAAATAGAAATTTTGTAAGATTATACATATAATATAACATACAACTTTATCATTAAATAAATTTGTAGAAAGGTATAAATTCTACGAATATGTCATAGAAGTATAAATTTAAATAAAAATTGAAAGTTTAAGATGAAGGAGAAAGGAGAAACTAAACTAAAGTTAGAGCAGAGTTACTATTTTTCAGTACATATAATTATTTATGTAGAAAAATATTTATGCAATGGACAAGTCAAAATAAATTAAATATTGTTGAACAAAGTCTATCAGCGAAGTCGTCAGAGTTGCGACTCAAGCCCCACCAATCAATGAAATTTGTCCTTGAGAAATGTACATTATTTATGGCAGTACAGTCAGATTTCATTTTAATGCATTAAAAATTTCGACTTTCTTTTACCATTATTATCTGTATAGATAAAAACCAATAACAATATTAATAACGAAACATTTTTGAAATGGAAAATTGATTATTCTTTGTCGCTTCTACAATCCTTTTTGATTTTGATTAAATAATCAATTAATATTGCAAGTAATATTCTAAAATCTAACCAATTTTGAGTAAAATTTTGTACATATCAATGGTGTAACATAATTTACAAAATTACTATTAAATAATACTACTCATTTAGATTTTTTTTAATGAATTAAGAATAGAATCATAAAAGCAAAAGAAAGTTGCACATTAACTCGGCAGTTTTGGATCAGTTCAGTTACTTAGATTAAAGTATAATGCGTTGAGCAGATTATTCTGAGTAACTAAACTTTGCTGTTTAGGAGTAAAGTGTAATTGAGAACGCTTAGACGGTAACAAAAGATATTGAAGTGCTTTTTATTTTTTTGCTTTTGTAATGAATATTTTAAACATTTAAAAACATAACAATACTATTATAATATTCTAATAAATATTCTAATATTTATAAATTTACTTCAAATATTCGCGTTAATATTATGAAACATAATCTTACACATTTAACTTAATGAAACTCTCTATTGCAACAAAAAATTTAAAAATACCATCCAGCACTCCAAACACGATACTCCCGTTGTATATATACAGCAGCATTGTGCGGTATTGACGCATGCAGTTTCACCAGGTGGGGTCCAGCCACACGGCGATCACATAATCATTTATAAGAGATACACAATCAGTCATACAAGCCTTGACAAGCGACGGTAGCTAATCACTGTCAAGGTCACTTCCCGAAGGTCATTTGTTTTCTCGGGATATTCGCCTCCGTTTTGCCTGCTCTGTTGCTTCAGCTGTTACTAAAACAATGTTCCCGCTGTACGAGGTGTCTTTAATTAAAATAGTATGTGAAATGTATAATTTATAAACAATAAAATATAATAAATTAATGTACGTATGTATTAATATAAAAAGTATATATTCTATATTTGAACGTAAATTTATATATATATATATATATGTGTGTGTGTGTAGTAATATCAAATATATTACAGAATATCAAATGTTTATTATTTCATTAATCATAAATAGTATTTGTAATATACCCACCAGCACCACTTCGAGTTTTCCGTCTGGTAATATCTTCTGTGGATCTAGATGCACCCCTTGTATTGCTTGCTGGTGTTGCTAATGGTGAAGCTGTATTTTGTCGAACAGATCTTCTCGTTGTAACTTCTCCTAAGGATTCATTGTTGGATGTACCACGTAGCCTTTCCTTTCCAATGGGAACTACCGTGGTTGTATTCGGTTGCTTGGTGGTTAACAAACGGCTCTCTCTTTGCACTCTATTACTGGCATTGAAATTTGATATATTACTGGAATTAATTTGACTGCCAGAAACAGTTGTGCTTGTATTTGTTCTAGAATAACAAAAATTTATTTACGTAGCGGGGCTCTCAAATCTCTGACATATTCAGAAATGCACTGCTGCTAAAAGAATGCTGAACCGATGTTGCTTACTTTTGATCTTTAGATTTTGGAGATGCAGCGGATGTTTCGTCTGATAATCGCATTCTTGCTTTTCCTACAGATTCAATCAATGGCTCGTCATCAGACGAATCTACTTCTACCACAATGGGACCTAAAAATACAAAAATGTTTGTACCAAATTCAGGTACCAATATTCAGGTCCGATTTTAAAATAATATTTATAAACGATGCAAAAATAATTATTTACTAATGACATGACCGAGATTGAGAGATGACAGATTGCTTGTGTAAGCAAAATTACTATAGACACGTGTAAATATATATTCATATATATACAAATGTACATATAAAAATTATATATATATAACTAAAATAGCTTCAGTGATTCAGTGTGAAGCAATTTGGAATGATCAATTATTATTGACTTTTATTATCCTGTTTTTGGCAGTCCTTTGTTGTTTTATAACAATATAAATTTATAACAACATAAATAAACAAACACATATCTAATATTTACAGAAACTTTTTTGCATAATACATAGTGATCCATGTAATCTTATCACCTGAAATACCTGCTTGAAAATAAATGACGAAAACTGTTTTATTTTAGGTGGAGGGTATCTCAGAGATATTAAGATCATTCTTATTTTCTTATGTCTCGTAGCACCTGTTAAGACGAGTTCAACGATCTAAGAGGTGCATCGATGTTACAAAGATAAAGATTAAAAATTCAAATAATTTATTTAACAATTTATATGGTTTGCGCTAGAAATTCTCGTTCTTGTCTCGTTCTCGCCCTAAAAATCTCTTTGAATGCATTTTTCTTTTTTTAATTGTGTAACTACTGAAAATTTATTTTTTTCTTTTTTTATGTTCTATAAGATTAAGTATTTACTTAGGCCTGGTTACATTTCAGATCAGATTTACATACATCAAAATGGCTGAACAATTTCAACTGTGTCCATTTTGAACACCTTCCCAAGAAATGAGAGAAACATCTTGAAATACTTTGTAGAATAGGTCATTGAACTCACTTTAAAAATTGTTATCAGGTACTGATAAAAAAAGATAAACATCCATTTAAAAAGATGGAGATGACCTTAATATGTTCTTAGTATGTTCTTGACCACCTAAAATAAAAATCTTTGCATTACATAATAATCCTCACAAAACCATACGCCTTTTGTAGGAAAAATGTTTTCATAATTCTAAAAATAGTGATGTTATAGGTAATAAAATTACATGAGATACTTTGTATATAATATACCAACACAGGAATTACTAAATTACTGAATAGCAATATAAAATAAATAATGTAAGATAAACACCTTTTTTAGCCTTCGCCAGTATATTGAATCCTTTTTTTGGCTGTTCTTCTTTAACAGGTATTTGTTTCTTTAAAGCAGCTTCATCAACACCCATACAAGCTTTAATAAGTTCTGCAGCGTTTTCTGAACATTTTCGTTTCCCTGGTCTTGGTTGTGGATCATCAGCAGTGCTAGATGCTACAGAACTTTCACTTTCTTGGCGTTTTCTTTTCCCCACTTTTATTGTCGTATTAGGAGATAATTTAGATACTCCCAATTTAGGACTTGCTTTAGCATATGGTGATATGCTGCGTCTTTCCTCTAATTTATTAGGACCATGAGGACTACTTTTTGGAGTCTTCGCAATATCAGGACTGTTTAATTTCTGGGATCTAGTTCTTAAAGATCTTTTTTCATTGGTGTCATTTGGTATTTCTATTAGAAGTTGTTCCAGCAATGACTTTGGTGGTCTTTTAACATAGTCATCTGCATTATTTGAAGTTAATCTTTCTACAAATTGTGTTTCATCACTGTCTTCTATACATATGACATCTTGTCGTCCTTCTAATTCTTGTTTTCTCCTACGTTTTCTTTTCACATGTTCTACATCGCTGGAATCTACTTCTGGATTTTGTGCTGCTGGGCTTGGAGTCTCATCCCTTTGTAAAACTACTGGATTAGAGTATGTATATAGTGGTGGGGTAATTCTAATTGGCTGAGGATCTTCACCAAGAGGTGATTGAATACCTATATTTATATCACTTGCATCATTTACAATTTTTTTAACCAAATCATCAGCAACTTTTTGAAGATTCATAGAAGGCTCTCTAACAGATACTTGTTGATGGCTTTGTACATTAGATTTTTGGTTTTGATCGGAACATTGTTCTAATTTAACAGGTGTTGCGCTTAAAGAAATACTCGAACTTTTCGTACTATCTGATCGATCATTTTGCCTTGTGTCATCAATTTTTTCATTGACATTAGATTCTACTTTGATTTCAGAACTAAAACTCTGGCTAATGGAACATGGATTATTTACCACCACATTAGATTCGTTTGTAACTGTAGTATCAAGCTTTTCTGTCTTTACCTTATTATAAGCAACATGATTTTGTATTACAGGCACACCATTATTATTTTGTCCATGAGGTTCGTCATTTAATCTAATTGCACTATTACCATCTATGACTGTTTTTACATTGTCTTCAGATGCACTTTCTGGGGCTCTTGACACTTCATGTTTAATATTTGTCTTACCCTGATCATGCTGGTTGATAGAAGCTTCTAATTTAACGCTACAACTGTCTGTTTCAGAAAAGTCATTTGCTTTTTGCTGTGCGCATTGCAATAAGTTATCACTATCCACAGTATTGGGTACAGAAGTAGTCACAATAGTCACAGATCCTGTCACTAGAGGGCTGGATACACTTTTATCAGTCACTTCTAAACTAGGAATCAAGTCACTATGACCACCAGTTCTCTGTGTTGTTGAACTTGAGTTTTCACTAGATATATTTTTCATGTCATGTTCACTGGAATTTGATATATTGCGATTTAAATGATTTTCAAGATAACTTGCTACAGACACAGGACTTAACCTTTGCGGGCCACTGGACTTTAGAAGTTCCGAATGGGAATTTGAACACATATCACTACTACTAGTTGAGGAAGGCACGTTCTTATTGGTGATTGGTAGGGAAGATTCCCCTTGAACAGCAGTTTTTGCACTACCTTGTGATACTGATTCAGTCGCTGGTCTATGCAAAGGAGATTCCCCTTGATTCGGTGATTTCTCTGACAAAGCATCCATTGACTCAATACCTGAATCTTCACCACCTCCTCCACTGCTGACTCTTTCTACACTTGCATCTACTCCAATCGCAATTGGAACTGTAGTTTCAAGTAATTTTTGCTTAACTTTTGCTTCTGTTACATTAATTTCTCCAATTGGTAAAGATGGTTTGCTGGAAGGTACATCAACACTTTGGGATCTGGGAACTTGGTCCACTGAGTTTCCTATTGCTGAACTTTGTGAAGTTTTCAGTAAACTAATTCTTTGCGCGTTATCCACCTTAGTTTCCACCATGGATCGATCAGGTTGTTTTATATGATTTTGAATCACTTTTTTATGACCAAAATGCTCTACTTTATTATGTCTGTTAATGGTAGCATTTGCATCATTTTTTGAAATCATATGGTGTTTTAATTTTTGACTAATTTGGCTTTTTGCTATAATATTACAATTTGTTTTGCAATTATCTGTTTCTGTTTTACTTTTTCCAGAAATAATCCTATTTACAACTGACTGTGTATTTTTAACAGTAGATTCTACATGTGTAGATACTTTATTTTCAATATTAGTAGATGGATTTGAATCAGTCTGTGGTATAGTTGAAGGTACTAACCCAGAATTTTCATTCTCAAATGGTGAATTATTAGTAGATTTTGTATTTATATTCGTATTTGTATTTGTATTTGGAACTGCACTGGCGGAAGAACATTCAGAAATGGTCTTCTGACTATTAAAATGTGTAACCTCTGCATCTTGAGATTCTAGAACATATTATTTTTAAGAAAATAATGATGTCAACGGTATTGTAATCAACACTTGATTAACCACTCTCTCATTGATGAGACACAGTTTTTCCTCTCAAATGCCGGACTTTTAGTTTCTGAGATATTCGCAAAAAATTATTATAATTACAGTGAATTCTACCTATAATTGATGTAATAAATTAACTCAAATCTAATTCTTATCTTTAATTTATACTGTTTATAATAATACATATCAGGCCTATCGAGCTGGCGGCTCGTGAACCAATGATGGCTCATACATCTCTTTGCGAACCATAGGAGAAGAGCTCCCCTCCACACCTATTTTACTCCGTTGCTTCTTTCTTCTCCAGATACTGCACGAGCCTCACCATTATTCATTTTTCGTAACAAAAATCAAAAATACCTTTGTATCGATTTGTTTAAATAAAATATTATAAAATAATATAAAAATATATAATAATAATAACAAATTAAATCTCTATTGAAATCGTGGTCCAATCGTAAATTATGGAAAGCTGGCTTGCGGATTATGAAAATGCATTGCCGCTAACACGTGTAAAAAGAGATTATAGAAAAATATTTTTCCACAAATTGACAAAGTTAAAAAAATCAAATATGTATAACATGTGTCTGCACATGGTGGGGGAATTTGTTAGCAAGGAAAGGAGACGCGGCTTATTGAGGGCCAAACTCGTATAGTTCGCGGAAGGGAAGAAGTTCGACGAAGCCTGGTTTATATATATACTTGTCGAACTTCTTCCCCTCCGCGAACTATACAAGTTTGGTCCTCGATGAGTCGCTTCCCCTTCTTCTTTTCCTCCAGGCTCTAACCGATTCCCCCACTATGTGTAGACACATGTTACACATGCTTGATTTAATTATTTAACTTTGTCAATTTATGGAAAAATACTTTTCTATAATCTCATTATTTTATCATATTTTACTAAAAAAATCGATATGAAAATATTTTTAATATTTGTTACGAAAAACAGATAATAATGGAGTTCGTGCAGCGAGAAGAAAATAACAGCAGAGTAAATTGAATGAAAAGTCATTTGTTTAGACGCAAAAGAGATTGTATGATACAAGGATGCCAGACATATGGATGTATCATAGATGCACACATATGGATAGGATTCAATGTACTAATATCGGTAATTTTTTGCAAATATCTCCTAAATTTCGGATAAAAATATCGGATTGTCAAAATATCGATTTCTATAATATATTTAAAAATTATTGAAATCGATGAGGGAGTGATTAATTTATAAATTCACCAAAATAATTAATTGTAAATGTTAAATATATAGGGTGCATCAGAATAATCTTTCAGCTCAATTTTCTCGAAAACGAAGACTTAAGTTAAAAAATTTTATTTTATATTTTCTTTATGAGGAATCATCTCATGTTTTTCCAACATGTTATTCCAACACACTCTGTACAATACGAAGACAATATAAATATTAATATATGTTAATATCATATTTACCTCCTAAATGCAGATCTTTTTCATCCATTAAACTTAATCTTCTTCTCTTTTCTTGACTAATTAAATCCTTTTTTACACCATTTACTTCTGTTAATCGCGAAGCAACAGCATTTAAAGTATTATTCTTCTCAATGATAGAGCGAGTAATTTCACTATCACTTGTTCTTCTGATTTCCCCTACTTTCTTAACAGTACTGAAATCATTGCTGGCCAAAAGCGTATCAGCTTTTCTTATAGCTTGGTTTGAATCACCTTTATAATTAAGTTTTCTCCATTTTGCTTGATTATCCAAGATTCTGCCACCAGACAACAAATTTTGTTCACGATGTAAACCCTCTCCCGATTCCGATTTCTTTTTAGAATCTCTTCTTTTAGTTTTTCCTACAAAAAGAAAGTAAAATAAAAAAAAAATATTAATTGTAAAAATTAGTATCTTGCAATAGTACCCAGAAAATAATTATGATATATTGCAACGAAATAAAGTATAAAATTTGTACAATGGAGATATTATGTATATCATACCTCCTCCTATTTTATGCTCTTGTATATGATTTTGAACATCTAATTCAACTTGACTTTTTGTTAAAGATTGTTGTGTATTCAAAGGTTGATTCAAAATAGTAGTTTTATGTTTTGAAGGGGATGGTATCCGACTGTTTAATGGTATATCATCGACATCGCTATTTTTACTTGAACTCGGTTTTGTAACACCAGTTTGCACGCGTACGACATCCATGGATAATTCTTGTTTTAAGGCATTAGGTTTTGATACAACTGTTTGTAGTATATTATTCACTTTGCTAATAGAATTGGTGCTATTGATCATCGTAGAATTAGACAAGGGTAATTTGGATGCGGATGAAGTACCTATAATCATGCTTAAAGATTTTTTTTGCAACAACTTGTTCCCATCTATACATTCTTTCATCTTTTTCAATTTCCCCCGCCTTTTTATATTAGTCAGATCGGAATCACCATCTTTTAGCGATTTCCTTTCTTTTTTCCTGATGTGTACTACTGAAGCATTACGTCCTCTTAAAGAAATATGTAACGGAGGCACTCTTGGCTCATCACCAGTTCCTGAGTTGGGAATACCAGTGGTAAACATTTTATTTACCGATTTATCGGCTTTTCTAATCGGTGGTGTGTTTACAAATGAAACATCAACTTTATAAGCTGGCGTAACAGGCTCAGATTTTTCTAACTTTAGCCTTAATTTGATTTTTTCTCCAGGCATCGGACTTTGTGCAGTCTCTCTATTAGATTTTATTCTACTATGTTTCAAACTTCCTTCACTGGCAGTAGATTTCACTGTAGTTTCGGAATCCGATTGATCTGTATTTGTTGTTGTGTCGTTTCTTCTTGAGAAATTACTGTCTGCATCATCGTCGGAAAATATGGAATTCGATCGATCATTTGATGGAGATGGAAAGGGAAAGAAATCATCTTGGTTGTCAACTGCACTCTCTGGTTCTGAATCCGAACTCTCACTAGGCATTGGTTCCAAATGCCCTGTTAAAGGATTAATAAGAAACTGTCGTATTTTACCAGTCGATGTATATTCTGGTTCAGGCGTCTCTTCTTTAGGCTTAGGAGATTCGGAAGTTTCAACCTTGGTAGCAGGTGAAGCGACATTACTATTAGAAACATGATTAACATGAGATCCACATTGAGAAAAGGCACCTGAAACTTGATTCGTAGTTGGCAGACGAGTAGTATTGACCTGAGCACCTTGTGGAATTGAGTTATTTTGTGCGTTCCACGTGGTCCCATTAGCATTACTAGTTGTAGCTTGATAATTTCTGCTTAAAATATTTTGACTTTGACCATATCGAAAATCGGTCGTGGCGTTAGTGTTAACATTAATGTTTTTGAGTTGATTATGATGTAACTGTTGTTGCACATTTATTACTTGATTTTGTTGTCCTAAATGGGACTGTGGAACCTGTTGTCGCACATAAGGAGGAGGAGTTTGCTGACGCTGATTGTTTAAGTAACTTAGCCGTTGTTGTGGAACATTCATGCCTACTGATGAGTGTTGCATCATTTGTTGTTGCTGTTGTTGTTGCAAAAGTTGTTGACTGGAAACAGGTATGGATTGCAATGATGTATTTACATTTTGCGGTTGTACCAAAGATTGTTGTTGAGTTGAAATCTGTTGTGTAAGTAGGTGCGGAGTATTCATATTTTGTTGTTGATTTAGTTGTTGCTGTTGTTGAGATAAAACTTGATGTTGCTGTTGTTGCTGAAGTAATAACTGCCGTTGTTGCAAAGGTGTTCGAATTTGCTGTCCGTTTATCGAATGTCTAATCGAAAGTTGACCCTGTAATTGTACCTGCGAAGGTCTGTAAGCCAATTCCTGTCTGATGGGAAACTTTTGCTGTATTTGTACTTGTGCATGCAAAGACGATGCAGATTGCTGTATTTGTCCACTAGCAGAAGCTTGATGCATTGCTTGCTGCGCTATATTTTGAACAGCGCCACTAATTACATTAACTGGATGTTGTTGAGGAATAGTTGAAGGCTGATTAGCATTAACAGTCACAAATGCAGATGTAGAAGATTGAGATAAGTCAGGAATGGCTGCCGTTCCTCCGATAAGATCTTCCGTTCTAAGAGAATCTAAATTAGGTGGTGATTCGGTAGGTGAAGATAAATCTTTTCTTCTAACTGTTGGTTTTTTAGTGGGTCTGATACGATTAGTAAGTCCAGAATTATCAATAACTGGCTGTAACATTTTCTGACCAGGCATCACATTATTCGGATGTGTAGCAGCATCGTTTTGCAAGAGATTTACAAGAAGTGGACTGGACAAAGCAACTTGATTTCCATTACCATTTGAATTCCCTGCCAGATTATTATTGTTTGGTGACAGACTAGATGTGGTGGTAATTGAAGACTTGTACTGATTCATTAACTGACCAACCGATGCAATTGGTTGAGTAGTAGTATGACCAGCAGTTAATGTTGTTGCTGTCGTTAAATTCTCTTGAACAGGATAAGGCGGAGGTGGCTGTACATGATGTTTAAATTGCATTGCATTTTTAATCGTTGTTGCTTGTGATTCACGATTATGTATCGCTTGGGCAGCATGTGTCATACTGGCAAATGGGAATGGACCATTATAATTATTCCTAGGTGAAGCACTGGGATTGGTTACTGATTGATTTCCGGAGGCACCAACATTGCTACTGCTTGATGCTGACTGTACAGATTTTGCAAGAAAAGGTGGAATAGGATCACAGTCTGTAGGTGCAACTACATTTGGAGAACGAAACTGTGGTGCTTTTTCCGATGATGTGCCTAAAATAATATAATAAATTTATATACCACATCTTAAATCTGTCTTAGTTTTATAAAATATATAAAAACAATACCAGCTGCAATTAGTTGAGCCACATTACGTAATGCTGAAGAAATGCTAGATGTATTACTTGGACCAGGTAAAGCTGTTGAAGACTCATTATCCACATTAGTTGTATTGCTAGTGGGTTCATTTTGAGATTTGGCACCACTGTCTTGAGAGGGTCCTGAACGTAACACAATTTCCTGTGCTTCTCCACTAAAGCGATTGGCTATCCTCAGTGATATTACCTATTAGTAATTTTACAATAGTAATTTTAAATATTTACTTCAATATCTGTAATCTTTTTATTAATCAAAATATAAATAATAGATGCCAATTGTCAGACATGACTTACCTTAAGAAATTTCTATTGTATCTATATATAACACTACGATAAAAGTAAAATATTAAGGATATAAATAATACTTATTCTTATTTATATTATATTTTTATAAAAATTTTTAATTGTAGATATCATTTTCGCAAAAAACATTATATATTTAATAATTTTTATTCCAAAGTTTTTTGCATTATCTTTGTTACATTTATCAAGTTTCTAAAATATTATGTTATATATTTCAAATTTAATAAAACTTCTCTTAATGTTTTTAGTCATTGAAATATTTATCAATTCTTATATATAAAAAAAGTTAATAAAAAAAGTACAATATTTACTAATAGAAAATATAAATAACTAAATATTATCATATAGATTTTATATCAATATTAGTCCAGCCATAGTCATATTAATAAATATATATTACCTGATCTCCTTCAACCTGCACTGAAAGTATTCCAAGTTGTGTAAGTGTTGGAGAACCCTGAGCTGCTAATTCTCGAAGACGTAATGCAGCTTCTCTGGGTATTGAAAATGTGACTCTGACAGAATTCCATGGCTCTATTTTATTTACTCTTAAATCATCGCCTTTATCTATAAATCATTAATCATCACACATATTATATAATATAAAATTCAAAACTGTCATCAACAAGAATTACCTTTGCAAAGCAAAGATTTAAGATGATCAACAATGATTTTAAATTTGTGTGGAAACTCTGGATCTTCTAGATTACCTTCACAAGTTATGACTGTTTGAATTAGATCACCATCACTATCAGCCGCCATGACTACAATATACAATAAATACACAAATATATACACAAAAAATTCATTTAAAATCTTACAAATTAATTTATTATTATAATTTAGAAAAATTATTTACTTAATTTGTTATAAAAATCTATTTATTAAAAAGAGAAATAATACATTAATAATAATATAAATTTTCTCACAATAAAAGAATTACATGTTATTATAATATATACTGTTTAACACTAGAACTACCAACGATTAAGGCATAAAGTATCCATCAGAGACATTGAAATCCAAAAAATAGAGAGACTTTATGATACAATGGACTGTACAGACTTTTATTTGTATATATTACAAAAAATTATTAAAAATATATTGTTTTACACCCATAAAGTATTTAGCAAAAATTATAAATTGGTCATTCTGACCACTTTGGTAGTTCTAGTGTTAATATTAATTGAATGAAAAAAGGAAAAAGAACTACATTTAACAAAAATTAAATTTCATTAAATTATAGTAAGCTATACAATGCAAAAAGAAGAATTTAATATAATTTTTATACTTACCAACCACAAATCACATAACTACCCAGAGAGGTTACAAACACCTCAGGGTATCACTACAATACGTGGTGATAAGATGTTTAACTGTCGGTTTCAAACCGACAACTCCAAACCACTCCAGTACTAATAAATACGTTTATTGTTTCTATAAAAGGAAATAATATTACTTTTATTAAACACAGTCAAGAGAATCAAAATTTATTTCATTTATTTTGTAACATAATTGTATTTAAACAATTTTTAAATGTCATTAAAACAAATTTAATATATCTATTCTGACATAACAAAATAACAAAATAAATTTAATATCTATTCTGACATAACAAAATAAATTATTTCATACATATGTATGGTATGCCATATATAGTTTATACATTAAAATAAACAAATTATCAATGCATTTTATTTTAGAAAACGTAAATTATTTAACAATAATTATATAACATACATAACAAGCACACTAAATATTGAGTTTCTATAAAAAAGTTTTGATTTCATTAATATATTATTCATATATATTTGTTTAAATAATATTTTCATTGTGTACCTAACTGCATTAACAAATTATGTATATAATGATTGTAATTTGAATGTACTAAATAAATAAGTTAATTCGTCAAATATTTAAAAAAATACAGGGCTATTTGTTTTATTTCAATTTTATTAAATTATAAATTACTGTAATGTAACTAAAGTTACAATATTTATAATTATTATTATAAATACTAGAATTAATTTTAAATTATAATTCTTACAAAAGAAAACCTTAATGAAACTTCAGAAATAGATTACTGATTTATACACAATATATATTGATGTATTTATAAATAAAAAAATTAAAATAATTTAAAATACATAAAATATTAAAAATTAGATATTATTAATATTGATTATTTGATACAAGTTTATTTTGTTATGTCAATAAATGATTAATTATAATATATATTTAAAGTACATATTTATATACAAATGATTGCAATAAAATTACAAAAATGGAAAAAATTATATAAATATTTACACAAAAATATCTGAAAATAAATAAATTATATCAAATTTAACCACATGTGTGGGACTAAAAAGGCAAAAATTGAATATAATATCAAAAACATCAAATAAAAATGTAAAATTGACAAGTCGAAACAAAGCAGAAACGAAAACATAGTGCATAAACAAAAAGTGAGGCCAATGAGCATTACTAGGTTATAATTTGATCACGATTTTTGTCAAATTATAGAGATTAATAAAGAAAATATAAAGTTAACATCAATTACGCTATTAATATTTACCGAATCGACGAACATACATAACATAAATGATTTTGGACCAAACCTTACTACTCACGAACTGCAATTAAAATCTTTTGGGCCATAAGACAGGGGCACAACTTCTATGAGGAAGAAAATAGGTTATAGAATATTTTTTTTAAATAGACATAAAATGTAAATTGTCGCGCTAGTCAGAATTTAGTATTCTGATGAGAAATTAGCTGATTTTGGCAATTTTCATAATGATTTCTGACAAAATAAGGCATACAGAGCACTAGATATCGGGGGGCCACCATTTTGTCCGTCGGGGGAGGTGTACGTGAAGTGGGCTCAAGCATGCTCAAGATAGACCGTCAAAAGTCTGAACATTTTTATTTTGCAGCTTCCTTCCATAATTCATAATCACATATGCTTACCGAAAATAAAGTTAAAATTCGATAATGAATAGTATGGTAGCCAACGAGCCTCACTTCAGTCTTTGCACAGAACGATTTCATACCGTATGAACACAAGAAAATTTTAACGTTACCCCATTTCTTTCCAACTTCGTGCGGGATTTCTTGCGTTCAAAATGCACGAAGCCACACCACAAGAGCACTAATTTTAATCTAAAATATACCGCGCAAGTCTTATTTCACTTTCTGCACACAGCGCGCGGTAAAAATCACGAAAAAACTCGACATAATCGGTAATATAAAGGGACAAGTCATAAAACGCCATGAACAATAACAAGGAGCCGCCATTTGCAATGCGGACAACTGACATGCGCAAATCAATCGCGCGGGGCATACTGGGTATTTGTAAGGCGCCATCTTGCCAATCATTTTAACATTGAAGTTTCCTAACCTTTTATAGTTTAAATATATTGAATATAACAATTATTATTATACTTATTAACCTCATATTTCACCCAATATCTATAGAAACGTAATATTATGGAATAAATTACTATTAGAATATTTAGCACGCAATAGAAATAAGTATTCTAGTGTACTACAATGAATTCCTGCTCTCATGAACAAAAATAAGTTTTGAAATAATAAATTAATAATTAATTTCAACACTTTGGATATCTCAATCAAATTGTAATAATAAAATAGAAATTAAAAAAATTATATTAATAATTATACACACAATAATAGTTTAAATCAAACATTTTTTCATGTGAAAGATCTATTTATTTAAATTGTAGGAGTTTCAATGACATAAGGTATAACATTTACTTATTAAATAAATATATAACATCTTAAATAAAGTTTTATTACCACTAATATCTAATTAACCTCATACAGATTTGTGGAATAATTATGGTTGATAAGATTCCATGAGTCCAGCTTTGTTCATTCTATCTAATGATTTCATTGGATCATAAGTTCTAGAACATAAGAAAATATATTAGAAATAGAAATAAAAAATTAAAATTTTTAAGACATCTCATTTACTTGTAAAAATCCTCGACTTTTCGATTATATGTATCCATAACTAGTACTTTCCATGACACACTAGTAACGACACAAATTAGTGCTGCAATTCCAAAACTCCTCTTAATTCTTGCAACGTGAAGACCACGAAGTTGGGGTTTCGGTAATCTTTTTTCTGACATCTGACATATTAATTTCATATAATAGCGTAAGTATTATTATCAGATGATATTTTAATATAATTGTAAATAATCATTTTTATAAATAAATATTTCTATATGATAACGTTATAACGTATTAGAATACTTTTCGTACAATATATCATTAACATTGGTTGATAACACTGAACAATATAGCATTATGTTTTTATGATATATTAACAGTAATTTTGATTTATATAGTATTGATTGTTAAAGTTTATGTGCTAAACGATATCATATAATATTTGAAGAAAAATATATATTAATATATAAACGGATAAAAAAATCTATATTTTAAAAACAAACTTAATGTAGATATGAAACGTATTATATAACATTCGATAATTTTCTTTTTTAAGTAACACTTGATCTAATTGTAAAAATAGGCAAGAATCATTAAAGAAAAGATTGTTTACATACTTTCGAAATATGAAAGAATACAGTATTTCAATCAACTTCAAGCTACTTATTTTACTCTGAAGTCCGAGGTAATATCAACAGTGTACTACCCAGAATCTACCCGGAAGCCATTCGTAAACTTACAAACTGTGAACTACTAAATTATAGACGTGTTCTGTAAGTAATCTTTTTCTTTCTAAGCCTTTACGTTTTGAACATGACACTTAAATATTTTTAAATATCTACAACAAAGCCAAAATAGAAATAGAATATTCGTATACTTTTTATCAAATTAAATGTTAAAGAAAATAATATAATACACCTGTTTTTATGAAAAAGTCTTGCTCATAGATGTTGGTATTATATAGAACTAACATTCGATACGTTTCTATGTTATATGACTTAATGATTTCAGCGACATGAACTTTTGCAACTTTCAAAATACTATATTTTGAAATATAAGGGATTTAAATTTTTAATTGGGAATTATTTCATTTGAAAATATAATTTATTTTACCAAAGGTACGTTTTCTCAAAATTTTTGTATAGTCAATTGTTGAAATGTTTTCAAAATCTAAAACTGCATTAAAAATATACAAAAATTATTCATTGATTCATAAATACAGAATAAATTTAATCAATAATATCTTGCTTTAGTCAATAATAGTATGTTTTAATAACGCAAATCAGATTTCGTATGAATAGACATTTTATACATTGTTCACATTGAGACAAATTCTATATTACTTAATCAATGATATTGAAATTTATTATACGTGATAAAAGGACATGACACAAAAATGAATAGTAGATGTGAGATCTATCTCATACGTAATCTATGCTTATACTATTATTATCCCAAGTAGATTTATAATTTCTAAGAGAAATGAGAATATTACTCAATTTGCAATACTAACGAAGAACATTGTAACAATTAATTATTTACTTTGGTGATATGTTTTTTTTTAATAGTTATTGTTATTTCTACTTCGATATGCCAAGGAAAAATTAGCAATCGTGATTTTCGTATTTTATCTAATGTCAATATTTATTAGAATACAATAATAGTGACAGCTGAGTGAAGAATTAAGTTGTTGCGTAGGTAGTTATAACTGCGCTTAAATTGTCGAATTACACATGTAATAATAAGCAAAAGAATCAACGGTGAATTGTACAATTTATTAGTAAGTTTGAATTGCATCAAAGTGGTCTTTCAGTTTCTTATAGTTCTTTTACATTTTTTTGTGTTGTAGCTAGATTTATAAAATTGTTTGTAAATATCATTTATGGATTAATTTTGTGGTACGTAATAACCATTTATTTAGTGTAATTTATATTTTACAGTTTTTGTTATAATATCTTTTGTTTAAAATCATACTGTTTATGGGATATAAACAAAAGTATATTTTACAAAATATAAATACTGATCTTTTTGTATAAAGTTCATCATTAAAGAATATTTTTATACAATTTTTTACTTTGTAATATTTCTATTTATCCATAGAGTTATTTTATTTATTTATATGTCTGTTTATTTAACAGGTGTCCATTGCGACTGTGTAAAGACAGTCAATTCTATATATAGCGATCATGGAACAAATGATTGCTTTGAGTACACAAAATCCATTAACTTTATTGGTAAAGTTTGGGATGATGGCTTGGAATGATACTTGTGGCAATGAAAATTGCTCTGGACATGGAGAATGTCATAATGGTACTTGTTTATGTGAGGTATATCTAATCATATTATACTTTTATACTTAGTAATAATAATAATAATAAAAATTATATTAATATTTAGTCTATATTTTATACTTTTGAATACAGTTTTTATATTTTTTTAATAGATTCAATTTGATGGATTAGAATGTCATGTTCCAAATTTAAGTTACTATATTGCATTTGCAACTATATTTTTTATGCTGGCATTTGTATGCCTTATACAGCTTATTATGTGTATCATTGCTGAATGGCAAAAAATGAAAGCACCATCTTTCCTTAGAGCTTGTAGAGTCACTACACAGAAAGTTCTATATTTTATTGTATTTTTGGCATCATTAATAAGAGGAGCATATTTTACATCACCGGTAAATATTACATAATAAACGATGCTAAAGGTTTTAATGTTTTTTTAAATATTAACCTGATGTTTTGCTAGACTGCATTTAAAGAAGGATGGTCCAGAAGTTTATTATCTGCATATTATCCACTTGTTTTAAGTGGATCGTCTTTAATTGTTTGTTTCTGGGCTGAAGTATTTCACTTGAGAAATATGTCATGGGACAAACCACAATTTCTTTCAAAATCATTCATGGGTTTTGCTGTGTTTAATGTGTTAACATACTCTCTGCTTCTAGCAGAGTTCATTGTTACTCAAATATATTCCCAAGAAGATCAGGTAAATTAGATAAAATTATATTTAATAATGAAATTTTAATTTTTTTTTTTTAAGCAAGCTGTTACACTGTCAATAATTTTAATTTAATCTTTTTCAGAGCTTTTACACTCATGTTTTTAATGGCTGTTATGCAGTGCTCTTGTTTATTGTTGTAGTCTTTTTCTTAATTTACGGAGTGGAAGTGTACTTTAAAGTAAGTTGATTAAAATTTTTAGTATAAATAATGAATAAACAAGTATTATATTAAAATGACTTTCTCTTAGATTCGAGGTGGTTTTTTGAATGATTATCAAAATAGTACAATTTTGAATAAACGTACAGTCACTGATTTGAAAGTTAATGCTGAAGAACAAGTTACTGCAAAATTATTTGATCCTGTTCCAAGTACATCACAATCATCTCAAGTGCAAGAGCAAATAAATATTTCTCAGTTACATCAGTCACGTGTAGGATTATTATCACAAGCTTTTATGTTATTTATTATTGTTGGATTTTTGTGCAGTGAAACACTTAGTGAATTTTGGAAAGCAAAGTAAGTTTTAAGATGTTTTAATTGAATATTGTTTTTTATATTTAATAATTATTCATATCTTTTATTACAGAGTTCCTTTGTATAGCAGAAATTGGCATGATATTGTTTTTCGTATTATTGAAGTAGGTGTAATATTATGGTTTCCATGTGTATTATGGAATTGTTTTAGGTTTGTATTTATTAATAAATAATATCATAATACAAAACTATGTTGATACGAAGTTCTGCAGCATATTATTACTAATTTATTGTTATTTTAATTAATATTTATTTCTTCATTTCATTTTAGTCCTGAACAATTGTGGATTTTAAATCCAAAGCGTCTTTTGAAAAGATTAGATCATTCAAAATATGTGAAAGAAATAGAATTACAAGATAAAAGCGCAGAACAAGATGCCGCACTTTTTTCGGATGGAACATCAATCAGCAGCAAAGATTGTTGGATTTGTTATGACAGTGAAAGACAAGATGCTGGCCCATTAATACAACCTTGTCAATGTAGAGGTGATGTGAGTGCAGTTCATCACAACTGTTTGCGTCGATGGTTGGTCGAGGTAAAATATTTTTATTTTGTGGACATTCTTATACTTATAATGTTATCATACATTATGCATTTCAGAGTTCTATAAATGCTGATAGTCTTACTTGCAAAGTATGTGGTACAAAATATAATGTTGAACATGCAAGTAAATTAGATTGGCAAAATGGTATAACTTCACGTCATTGTTTACAAACTATTGCCATTGTGACAACCATGTGTGGATCATCAGCTGCAGCTTGGACTCTCATTCAGTTAGTAGAAGGTCCAATTATTAGAATGTTTGCAGCTGGTACTGCATTGTTGGTTATGTATGTTTGTATAAGGTAAGTTATTAATAATTGTTGACATTTGTACTCATTGTACTGTATATCGTTATAGATTATATTTATTAGAAAATTTATTTTTAGGTTTTTAAGCTTAAACACAGTTGTGGCATATCAGCGTGCCAAAATTTCATCTTTAAATATTATTAGTTCTGACAATAATGGAAATGCACATGTTTCAACTATTAGTCATACAGTTTGTGTAGATTTGGCAAAATCTGAAACAGCCACGATATAAGTGATATTTGACTATTAATGATTTATTTTATTTTTATTTCCAAGAAAATTCTTACAACTATATAAATGTAAAAAGTATGCAAAATTGCATATATTATATACTTTTTTCTACATCTTTACATTTACTTTCAATGTTAATGTTGGTAATTATTTAACGAGTTGTGGAAAATGAATTACACAATAATTTACTATATATTATATTTTTTTAATAATTAGATTATCAAATGTTCTTTAAATGTCCAACTAGTCTGTCAATAAGTTACCATAAGTTTATAAAAATTTTGTCTATTTTTTGTTTTTGAGTTTGGTAACAAATTGAAATTATTGTTCAAAACAATATTTTTTGTTTTATGAAGAAATATAAATTTGGGAAGAGTGTTCTGTTACTATACAAATTAGATATTGTTTAAGCAAAAATGTTTGCTTTTTAGTTGCAAATATGCAACTTTAAATTTAGATTGATGAATTAAATATACGAATAAATATTTTTATTTTATAAAATGGAATGTTACCAATGTTACAAATACATATACAGTTCTGTATTGTTTTTGAAACTAATGTCTTCGTAAATGCAGAAACAAAATGTAGGTGAATAATTGTATTTAATTGAGTCTATGTTTATTATAGAACGTTATAAAAAAATATATGCAATAATATATGCAATAGATCATTTTGAATTATAAAAATTTGTTTCTAGAACATAAAGAAGTAGTATATACTATATTTTAAAATTCATACTAGATTTTATGATTTTATGAAATCAGAAATATCATGAATAATGATAAATATTTTCTATATAACTCATTGACGCGAACATTTTTAAGTGGGTTAATAAGAATTATTTCTGCGATTTTATATTTGAAAATACTCGTATTTCATATATCTTAGTTTTATAGGATGTATATATAGTATTATAATTAAAAAGTGATATATATTTTCTCTTCTTGAGAAAGAGTATGTTATATACTATTGTAATATTAACAGTTACTTTTTGCTGTATTTTTTGTAGTAGTACAAAAATATTCTAATTTTAATAACTTATTATAAAGCTAATATACATCACAAGTGTGTGGGGTAGTTCTACCAATAACTGTTGAAAAATATATTTGTAAATGTTAATAATTAGCAATCCTGTATTAAATAATACTGATAGAAATATCTGTTTAATATAAAATGATAAATTATCACGATAAAAATATCATTACTGTCATATCTATTTTTGTATTATAAATTGGCTAATATAACAAATTTATATTGAAAACATATATATATTTAAATTCAATAATTTATTTTTCAAAATTTCCAAATTTAAAATCTTTTATGATTTATATTGCTATGCCCTATGATAATATTCCATTGCCCTGCGGATAAAACTTAAATATATTGTTTGCTAACACATCATTTGATACAACTAACTTAAAAATATCCCTATAGAAATATAACAAGTTGTAATATTAACATTAGTTATATATGTAAGCATATTCAGGTAGGAAAAATAATATTAAGTGAGAAGATGCAGACTGTATCATGTCCAAGTTGATTATTAAATAAAAAGGCCAAAATAAAATTACATTATTCATTCTTAATTTTATTGTTATGTTTACAAAGATAATACTTAACAATGTTATGTACCAAATTAAAATACTGATTATTAAAAGATAAAGTAAACTTTTGATCAATGAATGTGGAAGAGCAGATGAGAATGAAATATCTGAATTTACGAATGATTCTGAGTACCTTTTATTACTATATAATTTTTTAGACAATTATTTAGGTATGTATAAGAAATACATTTTACCAATTAAATTGAATATTTAATAATAAGTAATATAATTATAGATATACAGATACAACAGAACTTAAAATATGGTTTAATATGAACTACTAATTTTATATTTATATTCTTTTTCGACATTAGATCTGCTCTGACTGTGCAATAATATTACCTGTTGCCATGTGTAAGTGTAAATGTTTGCGTCAGGTTACTTCTTGAAATTGAGGTTTTGTATATTGGTGGATAAATTTTAAATGCGAGTTTTTTGCTCAACCTACGCTGAAACATAGTATATATTCTATAAAAAGTGTAATTTTAAAATAATAAGTAAAAAGTACAGATTTTTTCTCAATAGTAATATTTCGTGGAATAAACTAATAAAAGTTTTACCTGCGATGCCTGCAATTGCCTCTGAAGCAAAATATTTGACATCCACATCACTGTCTGTATTGAGCTTATCAAGTACAGGTTTTACTTGAGCCTGTACTGCACACGGTTCAAGATAAGGTCCAATTTTTTGAAGGGTTTTAGCAACATTAAATCGAACATTAGCAACATTATCAGTGGCCATTCCCAAAACAGTTGGAAGCATCACTCTTGTTGTTATTTCTGGACCACAAACTTCTGCCAACACCTAAAAAAACAGGAATTACAGACAAATATAAATTTATAAATATGAACAACAAAATAATTTACTCACATTGATACAGAATAAACATGTCATTCTGTGAAGATAATTTTGATCCCTTGACATTGCTAAAACCTTAGGTATTACAGTATTCTGTGCCCATTCAGGACCAAATTTTTCTACGAGTTTTTTCAGATTTAATGTCGCTGCTTCTCTGATGGCATAAACATGGTCTACTAACCAAGTCATACACAAGGAATTTAGTTTTTCATCAAAGAATTCTACTCCAAGCTGTCCAGCTAATAATGGCATATATCTACAATACACAAATAGATATATATACATGTGTATTACAAAAAGAATATGATCGGATATATGTAATACAATTTGAAAAATACTTACTCTATGATGGCATATCTTACACGCCATTTTGAATCTTCAGCTAGTTCTACAATAGCTGGTAAAAGAGACTGTGAAAGTTGTTGTATTCCAATAACTTCGTTAACACATTCTAAATTGCTGATAATATTTAGACGAACTTCCGAACATTCATCTCTGAGTTGTGATAAAAATAATGGTAACAAATGTTCGATTGTACTGCGAATTTAAGAAATTTAGCCATTATTTAACCATTAGTTAATTTCAAACACATTCACATTATTAAATAAATATGTATTTGCTTACTTGTGTTTCCCAAGTATTGGACTAAGACCCATTATAACACTTGCTAAAGCTGATTTTACATGTTGGTTTGGATCTGATACAAGCTCTTTAACTATTGGCAATATTTGTGTCATAATAATAGATTCTTGATTGAATTTGTCGAGATTTTGACAAAAGTCGCGAACTTTATCAGCTGCAGCAGCTCGTACTTCAGCCTCTATATCTTTTAACAATACTTGAAATGCTGGTACAAGATCCGTTTTTGTAATTTCTGGACCTACAGCTTTTTGAAGCTGTAAATAAAAATTGACAGTGATTAAAATTAATTAAAATTAATATTATTCAAATTTATTAAAAGTAAAACAAATATATAAAAATAGCTCACATCTGTAAATTTATCAGCCACCATATAACGTACACGCCATGACTGATCACTTGCACATTGTCTAAGTGTGGGCATAACTAATTGTTCTACATCTTCTTGTGGTAACAATGCTGCAATACTAACACAAGCCTCAATTGCCAAGAGACGTACTGAGTCCTATAAAACATATCATAAATATTAACGATATGAATATTTTACGATTAATACAACAATTTTTTATGTATTATCTTACTTGTTCATCTTGAGCCAAAATAACAAACATTGGAATTAAATCTGCCTTTACATATTCAAGTTCCATAACTTTTGCAAATTCACCTAAATGTGAAGCAGCAGATCGACGTGCCATAGGAGTATCATCTTGGCATAAGTTACGAAAGTGGTTTCGTAAACATGCTAAAAAAGAGAAATAAGAAAAAAATAAATTTATATTCATATAAGGAAACAGACTTCTTCTAAAATTTAAATTATTTTGATATACCTTTAACTGTTGGATTGACACGTGGATAACAAACACTAAATAAACCACATGCTGATGTTCTTGATGTAAACCAATCTCCTGTTGCCAAACGATGTATTAAAGGAACAAATTGTTCCTCTAGATCTGTTGAGCTATGTTGAGCAGCAATTGTTCTTAAAGATTCCACTGCTTTGTCTCTAACAACAGTTTCTTCAACTGTTGCCAGACTCTCTAGAGGTTTCTGAATAATTAAAATAAATTTTTATTAAGATATTTATTAATAATTTTTTTTTTTAATACTATCTTCAATATCTTAAGCCTGAAGTGTTTCAAATTAAATGCAATCTTCTTTGTTTCAAATGTGCAATAATAAAAACAATTATGTATATACTAGTAATGATTAAAAGTAGTTATTTCTTATTTGGAATATTATATACATATAATTATACTAAACATGATTTGTTATAACACATGCCTCATACAAGTATATAATATTCTTCTGGTATTATAAAAAAGAAGTGATCAGTTTAACATTTATATATTCAGTTAAATATTAAACTACATCATGTATACAAAAAGATTTTCTAAATATCATTGCTAGTTCAGCAATTGAATGAAATAATAAATAACAATATATACCAGTAAACAATGTACATATTCTGGACCTCCTACAAGAGGAGTAAATTGTCCAAGTTGTTCTGCCAAAGCTAGTAAAACCTCATCTTCATCGTACATAGACTCAGTTAAAAATGGTATTAATTCGCTACGTGTTCGTTCAATGCCCAATGCAAGGGCAATCGTGGATAATTTCTTGATCGAATTCAGCCGTAACTGTAACAAAAACAATTCTGTAAATATGCTGGTCAATCTTCTATAATTCACTCATTATCTTCACAAGTGCCTCTTTTCATCAACTAAACTAAAATGTAATATATCTCCTTGAATTTAAGTCTTTAAGTCTAGAAGCATTTGACAGGAGTGTTATTATCTAAATAGATATACCACAATGTTAGGTGCATCGATATAGAAAAAAGAGTATTTAGAGTACAATGACAGAAGAGTAAAGAAATATTCCATTGAATTGTACACGCTACTGCTGTAGCCGCCGTGACACTCTGTTTTCTCTAGCAACGGCAAGCGGTACAATAAATCGATTACTTTGCAAATATAAAATATAGACGTCAAGCGTTTTCAGAATTACCTGTACATCTTCGTTTTTCAATTCGTCGATCAAAACAGCAATTGGATAAAGACTGTCGTCGGTGGTAGAGTCGCTCGCTGCCATTTTGCTACCGATCAAACCAGAAACTCCTGTATATTCAAGTAGTGTTCACATTACTGCGCCATCTGATGGTTATTACTATTACAGAGAACCAGCGGTATATTAAAATCTGTTCTTTTATACATTTCTCTACGATTTAAAGTATCTCAGCTCGTGAACTTTGTCTACTAAATCAATACATTTGTCGATTAAATCAACTTCATGCTTTCGAGGTGTTCGCATAGTCTAAAAAAAGATTAAGAGGATCTTTTTGTTTCATTTTGCTAAGAACTTTGTACATTGGTATTTTGTATCGTTTGTGACGTTTTCTTAATTTTATTTTAAAAAATAAATAAAGGAGTGAATATTACGTATACATTATTAACACACTGATAAAACATGATAAACTTTTTCATTTAATAGATATTTACACTTTCCGTTTGAGTTTTATTTTAATATTTTTCACATATCATAAAGTATAATAATATTATTTATTATTCATACTTTCTGATATTCTTAATATCAAAATAACGCATTCCATTTGTTTTCAATCTTGAGAGAACAATGATTTTGATCTTGGACATATTTTTTTGGCATTATTTTTTGTAAACGTGTAGGTCTTATCAGTATGTACATAATACTAATTTACTTTTATATTAGGTAAGAAGCTATGACGTTCGAAAAAAACAGTATTGCGTGATTCAACGCTTCTGGAAAAAATACATGTAACATTTATTCGAAATGTTGAGGAGAAAAGTGCAACAATATATAACAAACGTTGAAAACATTGTTACAAATACTTTCTAAATGAAAATAATTCCCGCAAGTTATTTCAACGATACGAAATTTCATAATTATATATGGTGTTATAATATAATTACATAGATCTATAAAAATGATCAAAAACCAACATCAAGCGTCATCTTTGAAGGGTTAATTCTTAATAACTAAACAATTAATTTAAATCATCTTATCATTAATTTCTCCAATAATTAATTAATTTAGGTAATTAAATGATTTATTTAAACTAGAATTAGATCAAAATACTTAATTTAAATTAATTTAAATTAATCGTTGAATTTATTTAATTGGTCAGTTCTCTTGGCCAATTGATCTTTCATCTCATAATTTTTATTTATATATGTCATCCAAAATTTTATTAGAAACTATAACATTTCAAATTCCATATCACTTACAAATCGCATTAGTGTTCCTTAAAATCTTATCATTAAGCAAATGTCAACCGAATGAAATATATAAATAATTATATCTGGAAGCAGATGATCTTATCATTATATCGTAGTTATATCTAGACGTATTTAAAGAGATGTTCGTTTTTCTATGGTGCACAGCATTCAGAAACTGTGGTATTTTAAAATCTATCAAGATGGCTCATTCGATCTTCAACGAAGTGAAAGTGTTTGAAGACACGGATAAAGAAACAGACATAATCAAAAGTATCATTAAAACGGAATATCATTCAAAAGAGGAACCGTTTTGTATTCTTGATGTTGCCGATGTGATGCGGAAACATCAAAATTGGATCGAGAAGATGCCAAGAATTGTTCCACATTATGGTAACATAAAAATTTTCTAATCTATTAGAATTCTTAATTTGTCAATCTAGAATTTATTGCTATATTCCTATTATCATATCTCAGATTATTTACAAATATTTAAGGAATATTAGTATTACAAGTGTTATATTATTGTTACATCGTATTATGACTTAGAATTAGTTATAAAATTAAAAAATAACTCCGATTAATTAATACCGATAGTTAATTAAGTAATAAAATGTATTGCTTGTCAAAAAAATGTATTTTTATAATATTTCTTGTAATACTTTCAATCATTAAAAACAGTAATCAAGTAATATTTCATGTCATTAAAAATAAATTTTTTTCTAAACTGAAATAAAATATTTTCTCATGAATATTTTACACTTGATCAATTGTATATTGGTGATTGATGTTTACATTATTATTTTCCTAATATGTTTTAAAATTTCAGCTGTCAAGTGCAATGCAGATCCGCCCCTTCTCAAGATCTTGGCAGCCATGAATGCCAGTTTCGATTGTGCATCCGAAGTATACAGCCGTGCTATAACAAATTTTTTTCAAGCGATTCAATACTATCACAGCAATGTTTATACTTAAAATATACTGCTTTCTGTCTTTATTTTCGTTAGCAAGAAATACGGACGGTAATGGAGTTAGGAGTACCTCCGAATAGAATTATCTTCGCAAACCCGGCCAAATGGACCACTCACATTAAATTCGCCAAGATGATGAACGTCGAAAAAATGACCGTCGACAGTGACACGGAAATTCTCAAGATAAACAACATTTTTCCAGAAGCGAAGTGAGCGAACAATGACAAATCAATGATTCACTTTAACTAGATACTAGAGCTATCGATCGCGATGACTAAACTATAAAACCTATCTGAGAGATACAAGCATTGAAGGAAAAGGAAAATGTTTACAATACAGTAAAGAACACAAGCTTTTGTTTTGTGAAAAATTACTTGAATCATTCAGATGTGAAAAATTACGAACCAATCATTTTTGTCCGACAGTTCTAGTATCAATAGAAAGTGTAAAATTTTATAAATAATCATTTTCATTTTTTTACATAATTAACAGAATAGTGATTCGTATTTGTTGCGACGCCAAGAATACCCTGGTATCGTTAGGAATGAAATTCGGCTGCGATCCGGACAAAGAAGCGGTTCGATTGATACGTTTAATAAAAAGCCTTGGTTTAACGTTGTGGGGCTTTAGTTTCCACGTCGGTAGCCCGTGTGGCGAATTAGAGGCTTATGCCAGAGGAATCAGAATGTGTAAGAAACTAATCGCGACTGCTAAAGAAATTGGTTGCAAAGATGTTCAATTAATCGATGTTGGTGGCGGATTTCCTGGTAACAGTGGATTCTTTATCGATGAGGTGAGACTTCGCTAGACCTTGAAACTTTGAGATTTATAATTAGATTTAATTCATTGGGTGTTCATTAAAATTACCGAAAAATAACAAGTAAAGATCATGTAATAAATTGACATCATAAGGACCGATGACATGACTGCGGTGTCATGTGAGTTCCAACGGTTGTAACCTGCTTGTTTTGTCGAATTGTTACAATGTGCAATGTTGTTTCCGAAACATTCAGATTGCAAGTCTCATCAACAATGAAATCCAGGACGTCGACCCGAATATCACGATTATCAGCGAACCGGGGCAATATTATGCAACATCGGCATATAGTCTGGTATCGCTTGTGCATACAAAAAGAGTTGTTTGTAAAGCGGAGAAAACAGTTAGAATGTACTATATGAATTGTGGAGTATACAATTGTTTCATAGAAGAATTGTTGAATTTAAAGGCGAGGCTACCGATACCGCTGGATAAGGTAGAATATTTTATATAACGAATGAAATAATAATGAAACTAACATAAAATTGTATATAATAAAATAATTTAAATTTGAAATGAACGTTAGATTAAGTTTCTAAGATTGGATTTTTAGCATTTTTAATACGAAGAATAAAAAGATGTGGAAAAATTAGGTACAAAGAGATTTAGGAGAAAACTATTATATTTGATGTAATATATTTTAGCCAGAGAACGATGAAAAATTCGTTTCATATATTTGGGGTCCAACCTGTGATTCCTTGGATTGCATTTTGAAGGACGTAATGCTGCCAGAATTTCAGCAAGGTGATTGGTTGATCTGGAGGAACGTTGGATCCTACAGCATAAGTCTTAGCTCTTCGTTCAATGGTTTCCCACCACCTAAAATATATCCGATTGCGAAAAAAAGTCAATGGTTAGTACAAAAATTAATTTGTAGTCATAAATGCAAACAGGAAATTTTGTATGAAACATTCTTGAATGTCTGCTTATTTCCAGGAAAAGTTTTATTACTTATACAAATAGAATGCAAAAATTGCAGGAGTCCGTTTCATTAAATAATGGAATGGGAAATGGAATAAAAACCAGTTAATAATGATATAATTAGATCAAAATAATTTATAGAACTACGATATTGTTTACAATGTATTTATTGTAATATATTAAATTTATACATTTATACATTTCAAACTGTCTAAAAAGTGGAGATATTTCGCTGGAAATGACAACATAATATTTCATTTATTATGTATGTTATTTAATGTGCGAAATTACGTATGTATGCTATACGTAATTTGTACGTATCCATGTAAAAATATATAGATTCCATTTTATGACTGTATTATTGTAAAATAAAATTACATAAATAAACATATAGTTTTATAATAACGTATTGATATAGCTTTGACTATCGATAAAGATTTTTATCAAAAAAAGGATAAAGGACTGTGTGAATATACATGTTGCAAATAATAATTTTACGACATTTTATATTTTTATTACTCACAGTTTGATCTTACATTTTGACATCACGTCTTCTTTCTTTAAATAAGTGTCGTATTAACTAAATTTGTCGCTTTCCAATCATTCCATCTGTACAAGTAAAATATTATTCAAATCAAAGAAAATGCAAGTATTCAATAAAAATAAAATTATTTAGATTAATGCACTTACTTTTTCGCAGTGTTACATAAACCTGGCTGAAGGTGATTCTCTACTTCAGTTTCATAAATTTCTCGTGCGTCTATGGAATCTTGTCGTGGCTGTTCCGAGTTTGTCAACGAATCGCTCACCTTTGGAAACATGACATAAAATTAATCGCATGTTTTTAACGATTATAAATTATTTTATCGTCGTTTTGATTAAATTCTTCAACGCACTTCTTCCACAGCTTTTAATACACGGATCAAATTTCTGCCAGCTAATTTTTCAAGTTCCTCTTTGGTCCATCGCGGGGTCACATCACTTTCGTACAGGCGATCGAATAATTCCGGATATTTAGAAACGTCTTCCAAACCTTCTGGCAACCTGAAATATGTTATTCAAACTCTCGCGGATCTTGCTTATCACTATAATATAAAACTTTGCAATTTGTAGCGTCGATGTTACACTTACGACTCTACACCATCGTAGTCAGATCCAATGCCAACGTGGTTAGCTCCGATAAGATTACGAATGTAATTAATGTGATCTATAAAAAGGGCAAATAGATATTTGTAGCAACGCTAATTTTACTTTTTTATAGTTTCATCGTTTTAATCGAAACGAAAGTATTACGACGAACTTGATACATTTTATACAATTTTATAATATAATTTTATATAGAGCTTGATACGTGAAAAAAAATAATATTTAATAATAACAATGATATAAGTTATATTCAAATTATTTGTTTGATCATACCTATAACATCTTGTATAGTGGCGTTTCTCGAGGAATCGCAATTAATAAACTCTGAGTAGAAGTTCACCATTACGATACCATTGTTCTTTTTCTAAAAATGCGCTTAGAATTATACTTTATTGTTACGCCATTTCATACCAGAAAACAATTGAAAAATTACTTACAACCATGTGGAGAACATCGTCAGGCACGTTACGATAATTGCGACAAAGGCTAAAGACAGATGAATGGGAGAAAATGATAGGGGCTTTCGTTACTGCGAGTGTCTCCCTCATAACGTTATGGGACACATGCGCTAAATCGACCAACATTCCTAATCGATTCATTTCGAGGACTACAGCCTATTAAAAAAAAAAAATTAAGAAATAAATTTTAAAAATTCCATATCTTCATGACCCATATGTAATTTGAAATATTATTATACGTATATAATTTATTTTTACAATATAAAAGACAAGAATCAAAGATGTTCGACGTACTTGGCCGAATTTCGTAAGATTGCGAACAGAGCCATCGTCCACAACTGATGCGTCAGCCCTTCATTAGAAAACAATTTTATATTTATTAATATTTTTGAAATAACTATTTCATTCTTTTCTTTTTATAAATCTCTATTGCATCTTCATTTTATAGTACGATACTCATAAGATAATAAATATTTTGTTGCATTAAAAGCTAACGTTACATTAATGCAAAATTTCGCTTTAACCAATTAAATATATTAATCAATATTAATCGTTATAATAAAATAGTTAGTATTCTATGTTGAAATTCGATGATTCGATGAAATTTGTTGAAAATGTTCGATTGATCAAAAATTTAATAAATATACCATGGTGTGTTGCACATATGGGTGAGCGTCATGTAACGCACACCGAGTTCGTAGTAGAGCCGGAGAACAGCCAAACTAGAGTCAATAGAATGACCTCCTTCGACACCAATCAACGAAGCAATTTTTCCATTACTCCATGCTTCTTCGATATGTTTGGCTTTCGTTGCGAATTGCAAATCTTTCGGATATTTAGCGACTAATCTTTTGATAACGTCGATTTGTCTCAGTGTCAGCGGTACTGCGTCTTTAAATTGCGACTTACAGTGAACGTAGGCAGCCCAGAACTGAAATTCACACTCATTATTATTACTGAATGAGTTATGAAAAAAATTTAAAATCTCAAAGCCTATATTATTAGTATAAATTGTAAGATATAATATTATTGGAAACGATAAAAAGTACGTGGCAATTAGATCGCAGATTTTTGTGCATGTACGAGAAAGAATGCATAATATAATATTATAATAATCAAAATATAATATTATAATAATAAAAAAAAAGTAAAACACTTTTTATAGTATTTAGCAGAGAAGGAAAATTTCTCTTTAGGCTTCATTTCTTTAATTTAATTATGAAGATTCGAAGTATAGTAATAATATAATATATATATTGCATAATAAAATGTAATGATATTTTATTAAATTTTATGATTCGTTATAGCAATATTTTATTTTATTTTATTATATAATAGTTTTTCATAATGGTCTCTTGGCTGTTACAGCTAGTATGAGTTATAATTAGAAAATTGCGAAAGATTAGCGCGTGAATCACATAGTTATGAATAAATTATCGCTCTTTTATAGTTACTGATAAACACAATTCAATTAAATTAAATGTCAATTATTGACATTTATAAATACATTGTCAATTAATTCACAAATACCATTATTACATCTACATTAATTACAGAAAAATAAAAAATAATAAAAAAAGAAAAAAGCGAAAAGATCAATAAAGTATGCACCGATAGAAACTATGTAAAAAAATTCATGCTGTATCTACCACATATCACTGCATATTGCGACAAAATGTATGATAAAGTGCTCTGCAATGAGTCAATGAATTTGTTTAAAAATGTATCTATACATACGATAAGAATGAAAATTCTGTAGATAATCTTTTATATTTGCAGTGTATTTTTCACTCACTTGTGCACCTATTTTTCCTTTTCTCAGTCGGGGAAGATCTGTATGGCACGTTCTGCATGCATTTAAGCCCCATAATGCATCGTTGCTTAAATTTCGTATGAAGTCGAACGTGTCCAAATTGTTGTTCAATAATTCGTACAGGTTGTAAGGCAAATCATTGTGACTGAAACGGAGAATTAGGAATCACTCATTATATTCGTGTGAAATAAGAAGAAAGGAAAAATAATATCATTTATTTTTGTGGTAGCTAAAAAAAAAAAAAAAAATATCTAGGTGTTTCAGAAAACACGTGGATGCTGCATCATTATCTTTGATGTTAATCAATTAATGTGATAATGTGTAAATCAGAAGAGACCTATAAAATAGTGACACACTCTTAATACATAATCTTATCTACTTACTAATTCATCAAGATAATAATCACCTAATGCTAATCATGCTAATAATTATCTATCGGCACTAATAGCGATAACAGTCTTTCATTATAACTTCTTCTTCTACTGCTTACTTCGTTTTAAATTAATTACTACGACAATTAACTTCGCTTCATTCGAATACTAAATCGACATTAATAATTTTTTTTAACAAAATTCTTTAAGTTTTCTGCAATTTCAAAAATTTTTTTTTTATTGAAATGGTAATATCGATTACTCACCCATCGATAAGTGGTGCCGTGTCGAGAGCATCACTTCCTTTGAAGTTGCCAATACTCAACCCTACGGAGAGACCAATCACGAACAGTAACAATGACAAGAACAACGCAACACTCGCGTAAATCATCTTCCCGGTGAAGTATTTATTTTTAACTAAGCTCCCTGAAAAACAAATTCAACAGCATGTAGTTAATTCGCGGATGCTACTGGCAGAGATTACCATGCTGCAGTGATTTTATATGTTAGAGAGCAACCGATAATTTTCTGTTTCAATTGATACGAAACAGTAATGTGATTCACTCGGTCACTACTCGGTTGGAAGATTTTTGATAAGTATCTACTTACACACTAATTATCAAATTGTGTCCATCAAAGTTTGCGTCTCGTTGAATTTTCAATTTCAATTTCTTTTAAATTAGATAAGATAAATTAGATAAGAATAAGTAATTAATTATGTTACACGAAACATATATCAATTTAATAATTAATAATAATTTGTGAATTGAAATCGCTCACGGAAGTATTCGAACATTTATAAGGACATTTACAAATACATTATGTGTGTTACATAGAACATTTTGAAATTTTATTGAGACTGTAACACGAGACCCGACTATTATGATTAGTGGCCAAAATGTATTATAGAAAATAGATATATTAATTTATCATTTAATATAAGTAATATAAATTAAATAAATATAAAAATATATTATAGAAATTAAACTAAAGATATTTAATGCAAGAAGTATTTAAATAACCCATTATCCAATATATTATGACTTTAATGTACAATAGGATTATCTTTATAAGCACTAAATTTTACAAAATTTTTCTACGTAAAATAAATATCCGAGTACTTTCATGAATCATTATACATATCATGAAATTGAATATTTGAGATTCAGTTTCATACATACATATATATATATATATAGTAGGACAAATTTAATTAAAAACGTTAAATCAAAAAGTTTATTAAATCCTAGAAAAAATAATTTATGAATAAATGTATTTTATAATTTTATAATTTATATTGATTATGTAGAACATCAACTAATATAATAAGCTTGCAAATATTACTAAAGAATAATACTATTCATTTATTAATTTCGATTCATTTTGCGAAAACGTACAATAATTTTTATTACCAAATTAAATTGAAAAGATTTGTCTACGATATAATGCAATATATTAATAAACTTCTTATGTAATTATTTGTTATAAATCTTAAATAATAAAAAAGAAAGTGAAAGTCTTGTGGTTGCCATTTCGCATGTGATAACGATACCGTGATAACCTTGTAATAATATGTTTCTCTTCAATGTCACATGTGTAAATACATTGTATATGTTTTAGGAAGAAGGATTTTATATCGAGTTTTGTAATTGTGATATTAATGTTGCATATTATATTTATTTAAAATTCTATCAAATTACGCACAGATCCTTCACTAAACTGACCAAACTAGTTTTATTGTATTCTCAATGAACTCTCGTAAGCAACTGACTCGGTGAGAACCCCTTTGAGACTGACGTCTAATCTTCACACGCATAGCAAATACAGAGGTCACTGAAAAGCTAAGGCACATTTCTTCGATTTGATTAATTAAATTATCGCACTATTTTCACTTCTTCCGGTCGGGAGATTTAAATTTAAATATATTATTAAATAAAGGAGAGATTTAAAATATATAATTTTTAAGTTACTTCAGTTATTTCAAAATTGCAATATTTTAATATTATTCGTGTAGCGCTTATTGAATTTTTATAATTTTTATATTGTTAAAATTTATTATAGCACGCACATATGCAATGTAGCGCGTATACATACATATAGTGAATTGCTTTATTATGTAACGGAATAATATAATGTAATGCAATAAACGTGTAATATACAAACATGTAATCAGTGCTAAATAGTGCTAATTCTCAACAGAAGGATAATTATTACACGTCGAAAATATTCAAGTTCATTGGAGAGTATAGTAACTGGAGATGATGATTAGCGTACACCGCAATAGTGACAACTGATTTGATTAATAATGACATTATTTGCCTCAGTGATGTGACATGACAAGCGATTCAATACATCTGTACAATGATTGACTCACCCATAGAAAATTTAGAGTAGAACGTTCCGCCAGTAACACTATTCACACCCATCCTCCGAAGCTAACTCAGTTACGTCTTTAACATGCAATTTCTGTTCACTCTGACACTATCTATGTATAGGTGAACATAATAAAGTCCAATAGGTTGTTCACTCATACATTACTTTGATTTAAGAAATATATATTATCAGAGATCATACGTTAAGTTTTCTGTTTATTCTGGATAAGGAGCACGTCAAACATCATAAACATGTTACATACTATAGCGAAAGATGGAAATGTTTCAGTTTTATGACTGTCTAAAGATATCGAGAATAATAAACGCTGCATTAATTGAGAAAATAAGCACATGTTACAACTGTTATATTATAATAACATGTTACAACTGTTACATGATAATAAAAATAAGGTCAGTTCTTAATTCTAAATGTAAGAAATGTAGTGCTAATCATAATAAGAGGATGTAAAAATAATTTAAGATAGTAAATGATAGATATTTATAGATACAATAATTATTTATATTCATTTACTACGTTAAACAAGTTAATTCTGAACAAAAATTCTGCGATGAGAAGTATCGAAGTCATAATCAATGCGCTGAATAAAATATACAAAATAATAACATAATTATGTTTTTTCCTAAAAGAGTGTTTTCTTATTACTTACTAAAAAATAAGTAGAGTTAAGGTCACATATATTAAATTTTATGAAAATAATACAGTTAATTTTCTCGCGGTTTATCAAATAGTGAATTATAAAGATTGGATCATTATAATTAAATTACCCGCGCTTTCAACGTTTCATTATATTATCATTGACTAAAGGATAGGATAGACTGGACATGAAATAGAACTTCAAGACAAAGAGTCTGAAATACCGACCAGGAAAAGAATCACTGGTTCCTGTGCTCACGAATGAGATATATAAATTGACTTAACACCATACCATTAGAAAATAAATGGTTTTTTAGCGGATTTAATAAAAGGTGAACAAGGTAATTACATCAAGTAAAACGAGGTATTCCCATAGAAATTCAAGCGGGAATATCTCGAGAACCATAAGCTCGTCCTCGCTGGAATCTCGAATTTTGTATCAGGAGCATACGGAAATCCAGGAGGTGCCACGACAAGTCGCCACATGCAGCCATTCTCCTGATATAGAAGGTTTCCCATAAAAAACTAGAACCAGGAACATCTCGAAAATCATAAGCTATCTCTTGCTGAAATTTCGGATTTTGTATCAGAAGCATATGACAATTCAGGAGGTGGCACGACAGGTCCCCACATGCAGCCGTCCTCCTGATACACAGGTTTACCCATAGAAATTCAGGCGGGAATATCTCGGGAACATTAAGCTCGTTCTGGCAGAAATTTCGAATTTTATATCAGGAACATACGACAATTCAGGAGGTGGCACGACAATTCCCCATATACCACCGTACCTCTGATACAGATGTTTCCCCATAGAAATAAAAACAGGAATATCTCGAGAACCATAAACTCGATCTGGCTAGAATCTCGAATTTTGTATTAGGAGTATATGGCAATCAAGGAGGTGGAACGACAATTCCTCACATGCAGTCGTTCTCCTGCTACAAAGGTTTTCCCATAGAAATTCAGGCGCGAATATCACGAAAACCATTACCTCGAACTCGCTCAAATTTCGAATTTTGTACCAGAAACATATAGCAATAGAGGAGGTGGCACCACAAGTCGCTACATGCAGCCGTGAAACAGAGGTTTTTCCATAGAAATTCAAGCGGGAACATCTCGAGAACCATAAGCTCGTTCTCGCTGAAATTTCGAATTTTGTATCAGGAGCATATAACAATTCAAGAGGTGGCACGACAATTCCCCACATGCAGCCGTTCTCCTGATACAGAGGTTTTCCCATAGAAATTCAAGCGGGAACATCTCGAGAACTATGAGCTCGTTCTCGCTGAAATTTCGAAATTTGTATCAGGAGGATATGACAGTTCAGGAGGTGGAACGACAATTCCCAACATGCTGCCGTTCTCCTGATACACAGGTTTTTAGAGAGAGATTCAAGCGGGAATATCTCGACAACCATAGGCTCGTTCTCGCTGAAATTTAAAATTTTGTATCAGGAGCATATAGCAATACAGGAGGTGGCACGACAATTCCCCATGTGCAGCCGCACTCCTGATACATAGTTTTTCCGACAGAAATTCAAGCAGGAATATCTCGAGAACCATAAGCTCGTTCTCGCTGAAATTTAGAATTTTGTATCAGGAGCATATAGCAATCCAGGAGATGGCACGACAAATCCCCATGTGCAACCGTACTCCTGATACAGAGGTGTTCCCGTAGAAATTCAAGCGGGAATATCTCGACAACCATAGGCTCGTTATGGCTGAAATGTAAAATTTTGTATAAGGAGCATATAGCAATTCAGGAGGTGGCACGACTATTCTCCATGTGCAGCCGTGCTCCTGATACAGAGGTTTTCCCATAGATATACAAGCGGGAATATCTTGAGAACCATAAGCTCAGTCTCGCTGAAAGTTAGAATTTTGTATCAGGAGGATATGACAGTTCAGGAGGTGGCACGACAATTCCCCACATGCATCCGTTCTCCTGATACAGAGGTTTTCCCATAGAAATACAGGCGGGAATATCTCGAGAACCATGAGCTCGTTCTCGCTGAAATTTAAAATTTTGTATCAGGAGCCTATAGCAATTCAGGGGGTGGCACGACAGTACCCCATGTGCAGCCGTGCTCGTGATACAGAGGTTTTCCCATAGATATTCAAGCGGGAATATCTTGAGAACCATAAGCTCAGTCTCGCTGAAAGTTAGAATTTTGTATCAGGAGTACATGACAGTTCAGGAGGTGGCACGACAATTCCCCACATGAAGCCGTTCTCCTGATACAGGGATTTCCCATAGAAATTCAAGCGGGAATATCGCGAGTAACATGAGTTCGTTCTCGCTGAAAGTTAGAATTTTGTATCAGGAGGATATGACAGTTCAGGAGGTGGCACAACAATTCCCCACATGCAGCCGTTCTCCTGATAGAGGTTTTCCCATAGAAATTCAAGCGGGAATATCTCGAGTACCATGAGCTCGTTCTCGCTGAAATTTCGAATTTCGTATCAGGAGCATATAACAATTCAAGAGGTGGCACGACATTTCCCCATGTGCAGCCGTTCTCCTGATACACACGTTTTTCCATAGAAATTCAAGCGGGAATATCTCGACAACCATAGGCTCGTTCTCGCTGAAATTTAGAATTTTGTATCAGGAGCATATAGCAATTCAGGAGGTGGCACGACATTTTCTCATGTGCAGCCGTTCTCCTGATACACAGGTTTTTCCATAGAAATTCAAGCGGGAATATCTCGACAACCATAGTCTCGTTCTCGCTGAAATTTAGAATTTTGTATCAGGAGCGTATAGCAATTCAGGAGGTGGCACGACAATTCCCCATGTGCAGCCGTGCTCCTGATACAGAGGTTTTCTCATAGAAATTCAACCGGGAATATCTTGAGAACCATAAGCTCAGTCTCGCTGAAAGTTAGAATTTTGTATCAGGAAGATATGACAGTTCAGGAGGTGGCACGACAATTCCCCACATGCTGCCATTCTCCTGATACACAGCTTTTCCCATAGAAATACAAGCGGGAATATCTCGTGAACCATAAGCTCGTTCTCGCTGAAATTTAGAATTTTGTATCAGGAGCATATAGAATTTCAGGAGGTGGCACGACAATTCCTCATGTGCAGCCGTGCTCCTGATACAGACGTTTTCCCATAGAAATTCAAGCGGGAATATCTCGACAACCATAGGCTCGTTCTCGCTGAAATTTAAAATTTTGTACCAGGAGCATATAGCAATTCAGGAACTGGCACGACAATTCCCCATGTGCAGCCGTGCTCCTGATACAGAGGTTTTCCCATAGATATTCAAGCGGGAATATCTCGACAACCATAGGCTCGTTCTCGCTGAAAGTTAGAACTTTGTATCAGGAGGATATGACAGTTCAGGAGGTGGCACAACAATTCCCCACATGCTGCCGTTCGCCTGATAGAGGTTTTCCCATAGAAATTCAAGCGGGAATATCTCGTGAACCATAAGCTCGTTCTCGCTGAAATTTAGAATTTTGTATCAGGAGCATATAGCAATTCAGGAGCTGGTACGACAATTCCCCACGTGCAGCCGTGCTCCTGATACAGAGGTTCTCCCATTGATATTCAAGCGGGAATATCTTGAGAACCATAAGCTCAGTCTCGCTGAAAGTTGGAATTTTGTATCAGGAGTATATGACAGTTCAGGAGGTGGCACGACTATTCCCCACATGCAGCCGTTCTCCTGATACAGAGGTTTTCCCATAGAAATTCAAGCGGTAATATCGGGAGTACCATGAGATCGTTCTCGCTGAAAGTTAGAATTTTGTATCGGGAGGATATGACAGTTCAGGAGGTGGCACGACAATTCCCCACATGAAGCCGTTCTCCTGATACAGAGGTTTTTCCATAAAAATTCAAGCGGGAATATCTCGGGAACCATAGGCTCGTTCTCGCTGAAATTTAAAATTTTGTATCAGGAGCGTATAGCTATTCAGGAGATGGCACGACAATTCCCCAAGTGTAGCCGTGCTCCTGATACAGAGGTTTTCCCATTGATATTCAAGCGGGAATATCCTGAGAACCATAAGCTCAGTCTCGCTGAAAGTTAGAATTTTGTATCAGGACGATATGACAGTGCAGGAGGTGGCACGACAATTCCCCATGTGCAGCCGTTCTCCTGATACACAGGTTTTTCCATAGAAATTCAAGCGGGAATATCTCGACAACCATAGTCTCGTTCTCGCTGAAATTTAGAATTTTATATCAGGAGCATATAGCAATTCAGGAGGTGGCACGACAATTCCCCATGTGCAGCCGTGCTCCTGATACAGAGGTTTTCTCATAGAAATTCAAGCGGGAGTATCTTGAGAACCATAAGCTCAGTCTCCCTGAAAGTTAGAATTTTGTATCAGGAAGATATGACAGTTCAGGAGGTGGCACGACAATTCCCCACATGCAGCCGTTCTCCTGATACAGAGGTTTTCCCATAGAAATTCAGGCGGGAATATCTCGAGTACCATGAGCTCTTTCT